TATGCCGCTGTCGTCTCGTTTGATGCGTGATCTTGTTGATTATGCTGATGGCTGTGATCTGTCTCACTCTCTCGCCGAGTTCCCGAGTTTCTCATGCCCCCAGCAGGTTCCATTCACCGGCTCGCAGTTCAGTGGCATTTTTCGACAGAGTACAAATTTCTCGTTTACCATTTTTTTGTGTTCAATTTGTATTTTTTTTTGTTTTGTTTTATTTCTTTCTGCTTTTGTATGCAAGAGTGTGAAATTTTTGCTTGTTGTTTGCTTCATGGAAATTGCCTATGCCTTGGAATTTGTGGGAACAAGTGCAGTACACACACACACACACACATGTATACACATACACGGATACCCTGTGTGTTACGTGCCCTTTGCGAGGAGAACACCCGCAGGCGAGAGCGTGTGAATTTTGGTTTAACTTGCTTTTTATATAATTTGGCATTTCTGGGCATAGTAAAAGCAAATTGCAATTTTATAAATTGACTTTGCATTTTAGCGTATTGCATGTGTCTTCTCCTTTTTTTGCGATCAAACAAGATTTGTGTAATAAGTGTTAAGCCTCAATGCACCTCAATTATGAATAGTTATTTATTAAATATTAAATATTATAGCTAAATTATATATATTTAAAATTAAAATTTCTATTTAATAATCTAAAACCTGAGCTTGCGGCTGTACATAAATCACTTTTTAGTCAATTGCAATTCTCAAAGAATATTTATGTCAATATATACATATTTATTGTGCCATTAGCAAGAGCGCATCCTTATTCAATTGTGAACCAGTTATATAGTTATGAAGCATCCACAAATTGCCTCACAGTATTTTTTTTTCCACATATCCAAGGTAAAAGTCAGCTTCGTGCTCCATTTAATTAAAATTCCAGCAACCTGCTCGGGCCTATGTGTGTTTATGTGCCCTAAAGTGCTGTCACCTTAACGCGCACGCATCATGATTTATAATCCTGCTGCAAACAAAATTAAATAATAAAACTGAGTGAAAAAAAAAAAAATAAAAAACAGAAACAACTATACACAATCTGTAACAAAATGCGCCACGTATGAAGGAACATCGGGCTGCGCATGCGCAATAAATTCGGTTTTTATGACACCTGACAAAATACGCAGCAGCCGAGATGCTGCAGATGCTGGAGTTTGGTAGTTGCGGCTGCTTCAGTGGAAAATTGTTTAATGACTAATGGCAGCGCGCTTCGGATTTTGGGGTGGGGAATATATAGTCAGATACACAGTCATCATACATCTCTATATACGAGTATATATGTATATGTAATGCTGTTGTTGCTGTATGTGGACGCCTTCTGCCGCTCGCTTTATTGCCCTGTGTCTATTGAAGATTAATTTCATTTACACAACTTCATCGCCTGGCCAAGGCTTAACACTTTGTTGCCGGCTGCTGCCGCTGCCGCAGTCGCTGCTGCTGCTGTTGCGTTTTGAAGTTAATAAAGTCATAAATATTGTCTTTGGGGGCTGTGCACGGATTTTGGTTGCGCTGTAAGACGCCGTAATACGCAATAGTCAGAGCAGCAGCAACAGCAGCAGCAGCGGCAACAGCAACAGCAGCGTGTCTGGAGCGGCACAAATCGTTACGTGTCGATAGTTTTTTATGGCTCCTTTGTGAGTGCCCAGTGGTGGCCAGTGGACCAGTCTACAGCGGTCCACATAGAGGCGTAGCGTAGCATATGGCGCAGATTAGAAACGGAGCTGATATATTTTATGAGGAAGCAAATTGCATCAGCAAGTGAAACTTAACATGTCCATGGGAGGAGCTTAACTTTATTAACTAACGAAAACGAACTTTTGAGAGCGGCGAAAAATTCGATTTATGTGCGAAAGGGAAACTTTATAGCGATTGAGATAGGGAGAACCCAATCGGGCTTCAAATATAAAAATGGATTTATAAGAAAGTAAAATTTGGTTTAGAGCTGAAACGAATTTACGATTATATTGACCAAGCTGTAAAAATAGTAACTTGAAGTAATTTTATTCCAATTAGATGAATATCATTTTACATTGCCCAATTGGACTTGTGTTAACTTGACAAATTCTTATTTGAACATATCGTATTATGTAGTAGAATCTATAGAAATACCGAATTTGCTGTAGAAAAAGAATAAAATGTATTAAAATAATTGAGCTTTCCAATAGAATGAAATTTGCCCAAAAAAAATGAAGCTAGACTTTTATTAAATTAGATTGCAATATATATTTATTTAATTGATATTGTTTAAATTATTATTTTGTGTAGTTAGTATAGCTAGTTATTTTTTTTATATATTTATTGAATAAATTCACAACTTCCTTAATACTTTTTCAAAACCTCCTCTATATTGATTTATTCGAATTGAAAGCTATCAATGATTCACGTTTCGCTTGATCCATTGCAAGTTGAGCACCTTCAATAAAGAATAAAAGTTCCCCTCGCATTTCACGTTGCACGAAACGTGGCGCAGTGTGTGGCAAGTTTATATAGTGTGAATTGCTTTCGACAAATTGAAGCGTCATCAGCTAGCACCGTTAATGCCTGTTAAAGCAAAGGTATACGAGTATATATACTCGTATACTTGTATGTCATGTATGTAAATAGACGACAGGAAAGATGTTTTCATGTTGCTAATGGGCACCTTATCGGGCCACAAGTGTGTAAATACGAGCAACAGATAAAATGGGAGACGCACAGCAATCAATACACAATTCCCGTAAGGCTTTATCCGGGCCAAGGCAAACAAATGAACACACGAGCATATGAAAAGGTGCTTCACAGTTTTTTATATAGTTGAGCCGATCGGAGTATTGGCACAGCTGCTACTTTATAAAGAAACTTCAGCGATCGGAACAGGGCTAAACACAGCCGACGACCTTATGCAAAAAAGGTGCAACCTTTTCCATATACAAAAGCAACTCTTTGTTGTTGCTGCTAAGCAAATACGTTCATATATCATAATACACACAGACAGACAGACAGACACACACACACACACAAGTTGCGCCCTAACGGAAAGTTGTCGGGTGCTTGGGCTTGGGGTGCACCAATGTGTCTGTGTATGTGTGTGTGTCGGCATTCGCCTTCCTGCCCAGCGTTGGCGTTGTGCTATGCAAATACACCTTGCGTACTATCGAATCGCCTCCTTCCGGCCGGAAAAGTGATCTACACTCAAGTGGCGATAGTTCATGTTCTGTTTGGGGTGGTTTCCACACATGAAGGGGGTCTGAACTTTTCCTGTCTACCTGTCAAGTTTACGCCTGACGGCACAAGCGCCCGATAAGTGGGCAAGCAGCTGGGAGAGAGCGACTAAAAGAGTCCTTAACATATATACATATACATATATAGCATGGGCAGGAGCAAAGTCGGCAACATGTAGGTTCTGCTAGGGGTGGATAACTGACAGGTGTGTCAAAAAAATTGAAGAGAAGAGAAGAAGAGGAGACGCACTCGAAATTTGTTTAGACGTCAAATGAATGGTTATCTAACAATAAAACTATTTCGATGGGATTAAAAGTACAGTTTGATCAAGACTATATAGTCACAAATTTTAGTATGCGTAAGGAAAGTGTGTGCTATGTTAAAAGTATGCTATAGAATCGGAATGAAATTACTATAATGTAATAAAGTAAGCTTATTAAATTATGAAATGCTTGAAATAGGTAGTGGCAAAATTGTTAAATAGGAGAAAGGTTAGATGAGGCTACTATCTTTAAGGAAGAAGTTAGAATTAAGCTAGTTTAAGTTGATAAATATTTAGATTTTGATTTACCCCACTGAAATATTAGATTTTTGCTAGTCCAAGGCTAGATTCTATTTAAATATCTAATTTAGTTTCAATTTTCTATTTGTTACACCAAATTTTTGTTATTTTTTTAGAAAGGAAAAGAACAAGTTCTGCTATTTTTTTTTTTTAGCTTGATAGATTAAAAAAAAAATTTTTTGCTTGCATTATTATTGTAAGCGAATAGGATATACTTGAATTGTTTTTAATAATATTATCACGCTTCTATTAACTAAATATTTTTGTCAAATTGACGCTGGTGAAAATGGGATCTTTAGTGTCAAAAACAAGCTTCTTATCAAATGCGAAAAAAATAGCAAAATATACATATTTTTAATATATTCAATTCCTTCTTGATGAATTGAGCTATATTCAAATTGCCTTTAAAGACATTAAAAAATGTGAATAATGTGGCACAAGTACTGTAAGTCTGAGTTCACTCTATCTGAATATATTTCCCAATATATATCAGAGCACTTAAAAAGCATTAAAAAAACAAAAGAAAACCTTACGAAATGTCTTCCGACAACAATAACTTCACATATGCTAATGTCGGCCTCAACTGAAAAGTTCAGTTCTACTTTATACCTGCCCACAGAAGTGTCTATTGCATTTCTAATTACGTATGTATGGAATGGTCATTCTCTTAACCCATTCCGAAATGCTATCAATTACATGAAAAGTAATGCTACTACAATAGCTGGCCACGGCACGATCCGCACGCATGCCCAACTGTAACCCGTGTGGATGGGGCTGGGGATGGGGATTGGCTACGTGAGTGGCGGGAGAGTTGGCGCACGGCTTCAATTGAAGTTCAATTGGAGACGCGTAGATTGTGATTTGATTTTATTGCCAGCACACTTAACATAATGAGCGGCACGATAAGATCACGTTTCCTCCAAAGAGACGACACCGACAGTTGGCGACTAGCGCATGCGCATATGCTTCCTGTCTGCCTTAGTGCCSGCCGGCCGGATATTCCTTTAAGTACTCGAAGGCATTGTCATCGAATGTCTCGGCTCAGTGTCTGTGTCTGAGTCTGAGTCGCAGTCGCAGTCGGAGTCTACGCCAACGTCTGCAATCAGTGCACAAAAGTTCAAAGTGCATGGACGGAATAGATGAATTTTCATGGAGCTCCATTGAAATGCCAAGTGCAGCAGCAGCGGCAGTAGCACTGAGCGGCAGCAGCTGATGGAACAAAGGACACACCACCTGTTTCCTTGGGCTTTTGTTCTGATTTATTTCAAAAGGAAGTTCATTGAACTAGAGTGAACTGTAGAGTGAACATGATTATAAATGAAATCGCAGTGCGCGTGCAGCGACATGTCTAAGCCGCACTTCCCTCCACTCTTCTCCATCTTTCTATCTTACTCTCTCTCTCTCTCCGTCTACCACTTATAGTTTAAGTACGCATCGTAGAGCAACCTGGATCTGTAATAGCGCCTCTCCGTCTCCATGAACTGTATTATATCCTTTACATTCATGTGCTTGACGCGTATGATGAACGAACGTGGCGGCGGCGGCGGCTGTGCACCGCCAGCTGGTGCCTGTCCGCCGATTGCGGTAAAGCTAGTCGGTCGAAGTGGCTTGCGAGCGCCCAGTGCCATCATAGCCGTATAATTCGTTGACTCCAGACGCATTTCGTTTTCGCCCGAATTGTGGGAGCGATTACGTTGCAATTTCATCCAGCGCCTGGAATTGTAATTGAATACATTTATAGTAGATTTCAATTAGCAAGTGTTACCTGCGATGGCCGTAGGTGGAATCATCATCCGAGCAGCCGTAGTCGGCCACCTCGCGATCGTTGAGAAACATCATTGTGGTGCGCATATCGTGCATCACCACACAGCGTGGATCGTTGTACAGATTGTTACCGGAGCGATGCTCGCATAGCTCGATGGCCGAGAGCATCACATACTTCACATAGGTCTCCACGGCGGCGAGCAGGGCATTCAAAATGTCGTCCTTGAAGTCCTTGGTGACGCCCTCCACGGCGCAATACTTGAACAGCGTCTTCTCAATAACTTTCGGCTCGAAGAACGACGGGCGCGGCATGTCCGAAAACTTGGGACCCGCAAATGATTTCTTGCCCGCCGACAACTTCTCGTCGTCACTGAGATCGGGCACAATCAGATTCTCGATGATGAGCAGCCGGCCGGCATAGGCCTGCATGGGCACCTCAATCGGTTTGCTGGCCATATTCTAATGAGCAAACAAATGGAATGGAATGGAGTTCAAGTTGATTCTGGCAGCTGCTGGCTAGCAAAGCTACGGCACGCTTCTGCACCTTTGGCATGTGCAAGGCAAACGCTTTAATAGAAGCTAACATATGCCAGCATGATCCTTACCGGTCGAGTACACGATCAGTGACCGCAACAGCCCAGCACTCGGACAGCACTTGTTCCTCTCCAGTGCACAGTGCACTCAACCTGCCCACACAAGCTCACATCTGCAGCAACAGGAGCGAGCGAGGACATGTTATGCAAAGTGCAGTGGAATGCGAAAGACCAAAAAGGCAGCGTGCTGACTGGCACGAGCGACTAATTATTCAAGAGAGCTGAGCATGATGGAATGCTAGAACTAGGACAGAGCCCAACCCGAAATGCTCTAAGCGGATATTAAGCAACAACGACGCGCGACTGTCGCCCGTCGCCGGTCGACTTCGCCTACCCCGTCCCGCACCACTGACTCCCACAGCACAAAGTGGAAGGTCCAGTTCTGCCCAGGCCCGTCCCGTCTCGTCCAGTCAGTCAGATATGAGGGTGCTTGGGCGCATACTTAAACTAGGCATTACCTGAGCTCTGGGCTGGTGTTGTGACATGTTGTTACCCCTAGCTAGAAATTTATTAGAAATTCTGGTCAAGGTGTCTGTGTGTGTGTGCGTGCGTCAGTCGCTTTGTTGGCTGCGTGTGCCGACGCCGCCGACACCGTCTGTCGCCTGTTGTCTGAGTTGTCGCCCGGACGAGTTGCTTTGCTCCCGAACAGGTTCATTACGCGTGCCGTCAGAGCGGTGCATTGCAGTGCAGCGCAGTCGCAGCCACAAGGCGTCGACCTAATTATGTATTTTCTTTTGTTTAATTATCATTGTTTTTACAAGTTGAGGACTTGGCCAGATAACCATAGGGGTAGATGCGGGTTTACTTACTTGAGTTGTTGGCTGATGCAAGGTGCGCGGTTGGCTTGACTTTTCTTATTATTATTCAAGTTGCTTCAAGAGGAGCTCAATGTAAGTTGATTGAGAAAGGAAAGGCTCTTGTAATATAAAGGCAGACGAGTGACGAAAGTCGAAGTCTACTTAGAGTGGGTTCGTTTGACAGTCAAACTAACTTCAGTACACTCTAGTGGTATTTTCACTTCTCGATTACTCTGAGCCTTTTACAGCACTAGAGTGAAACAAAAATTATGATGAACTTCTATAAGAATTCGTTCACATTTGCTCTCTCCTTTTATAATATCTTTAATCTTGCAATTGATTAATTAGAATTGAAATTAATTGAATTGAAACTCTTACTGGCATGCGAAAGCAACCAATCTGCTTATCGTCTATCGATTACTCTTAGTATTTTACAGCACTAGACTCGAACGAAAACTTTGCTTAAATTTTACTAAAATTCTTCCTCATTCCCTTTCTCTCTTCTCTCTCTCTCTCTCTTATATTCTAGCTATAATATCTTCAATATTAAAATTGATTTATTATAATTGCAGCACAGCTTTTACAGACTTCCAAAACCAGACACTGTCTTTATCGCCTATCGATTACTCTGAGTCTCTTACAGCACTAGACTCAAGCAAAAATAATTATTAAGCTCTTCAAGAATTTTTTCTTATTCACTGATTATCTCCTTAATTTTGCAGTTGATTAATTAGAATTGCAGCGAATCTTTAACCGGCTTGCAAAAGCATCCACTCTCTTTATCGCCTATCGATTACTCAGTCTTTTACAACAGTAAATGTTACACGAATTTCTTTCATTCTCACAGTCTGTCCTTCAATTTTATCTTGAATAATACAATTGATTAATTAGAATTGCAGCAAAACTTTTATTGGCTTCCAAAAGCAACCATTGTCTTTATCGTCTATCGATTGCGCTTGGCCTTTTACAACACTGCGGCAAAGCACTAAAAATTTGAATAACGATAAGTTAGCAAATAGTCAGTGCATCAATCGTAATGCTAACGGTCCATATTCAAACCAATGTATTTAGAAATGCAGATTGGCAATGGCAATTGCCAATGCGAGGCCAACTTGCATAATTCAGCAGGAGCAGGAGCAGGAGAAGGAGGGGAGCAGCCGAGGAAAGGAGGGAGCCACAGTTGGGATCAGCGCATAAACTAAGCTAACAATTCAACTAAAATGCCAACTAGATAATAAAGAAAGAGGCAAAATAAAAGCGAAGAAGCAGGAGTAGAGCTGAACGATAAACGACAGAGCCAGTTGGCCAAATGGAAATACAAAAGTCAAGAAATGCGAACACGAATGCCGCAGTCAGTCGAAGGTAACCCGAAAAGTGACTGCTGCTGCCAGACGACGAGTCAGAGTTGCAGTTGGAGCGACCACCCACACGCTGTTTGCAGTGCATCCTCGCCGCCTGCGCAGTGTCAAATAGACAACAACAACAACAACGATAACGACAACAACGAGAAGAAGAGTGAGTGTTGCGTGGAGCGCGGGCGTAGCTGGACGTATTTTTTTTTTTTTTTTTTTTTTTTTTTTTTTTTTTTTTAGACGTTTAGACCGATGAGTTGTGGGCATATTCCAGCGAATAAATATTATCATATGGAAATTTCTTTTCAGAGCAATTACGAATATCACCCCCTCGCCCCACGCTCCCCCTCTTTGGCAAGGTGACCCAGCAAACGTCAAAGTTTTGCGCACAGGAAATCGAAATCGCAACAAGTTGACGTCGCAAACGTCGACGATGATGTAGCACCGCCTGCAAGTCGATGCGATGCGAGTTGAGAATGGGACGCTGTGTCCCATTCATAGATATCCACAGCATGTGGCAGCAGTTGTAGAAAGTTGAAGGCAACATGGAGTGCAGCGACAGCCGGGCACAGGTCGCACACACACACACACAGATAGACAGCCAGACAACAATTGGCATCGCCTCCATTCAGCCAGGCTTTTGCGTACCTGTTGGGCTGACTGCGTTTTTTTTTTTTTTTTTTTTTGTAGTTTTGGGCGCAGCAAGCGAAATTGGCAATTGTTGCGCTTTTAGTAGCGGTGGCAGCTACTGTTGCTGCCACACACCTTGCAGCACAGTCGAGCAGCGGAAGCAGCAAGCCAAAAGCCACTGTTTTGCTATATATAGATAGGTATATACCCTATGCATCCTGCCTCGCAGAGCTGGGCTTGCTGTGACTGTGGGTGTTGAGGCAGCTTTTTTTTATATATAGGCAGATTAATAAAGATAGAATATTTAATGATTGTTATAAATATATTCTCGACCTATACAAGAGAGCAGGTGGTAAAACTCAGCTTTGCTAGTATATAAGTAGTTCAGAAATATTCCAAGAAAAGATAGATGAAAAAATAATTTAAATATAATTAAATTTTTAGGTTTATAAGTCGGCAAATGAGAGTGGAAATTTAGTAAATAATTTTTTTCTGTAAAGAA